GTACCATTCAGCAGCTCAGATGGGGAACAATAGATTTGAAATAAAATTACTTTCCTGAGAGCGTAATTTCAGTTAATGACCTTTCATGATGGCACTCCAGATTCTCTCCTTTCTTTTTGTTTTGCATTTTTAAATTTTTTTTTTCCAGTACCGGGGATTGAATTCAGGACCCTGTGCTTGCCAGGCAAGCACTTATTCTACTGAGCTATCACTCTGGTCCCTTGCTTTGTTTTTTTTTTTTTTTTTTTGCGGCACCAAGGATTGAACTCAGACCCTTGCACTTGCCAGGGAAGCGCTTATTCCACTGAGCCATCTCCCCGGCCTTTTTAAAGAACTTTTTAAAAAATGTATTTTAGTACAGGTTCTGTAGGGTCTCACTACATAGATCAGACTCATTTTTATTCTCCTCTTTTCAGCCTCCCAAGTGCTGGTATCACAGGTGTATGCCACCACATTTTTAAACTGATAAGAACAGATACTGCTAATCCCAGTGCTTGGGAGGCTGAAAACAGGAGGATCACTATGAGTCCAATCTGTATAGTGAGACCCTGTATTTTTGTTTGTTCGTTTTTTGTATTTTTAGGGAAGGGATCGGACTCGTAGTGGTCGACCTGTTTACAGCCTCCCAAGAGCCGGGATTACAGGCACGTGCCACCAGACCCAATCTCAACTGCTGCCTCATTACACTCCAGGGATGGGGCTGGCACAGCAGGCCAAGGGATTGAGCCCTTTAATCCACTGAGCTATTTGGCTGGTCCAGTGAGATCCTGTAGACCCTGCAGTAAATACATTAAAAAAAAAAAAAGATACTGCACTTGATCTTAGCCAAAAGGCCAAGGAGTGAATTTTAATAAATTTTTTAAAATTAAATAAAAAAATAAATATTCACTCCATTTTTTTCCTTTCTTAACTAAAAGAGCCGACAAGCTTATTTTCTTTTCTTTTTTTTTTTCAGTATGGAAATTTTATTTTCACATTTCACAATATAAATGAAACTGTACTTTCTGTACTTTTATCGTACTTCTCCCTTTAAAACTACTCTCTAGTGCCTGGGAGATAACTCAATGGCATAAGTACCTACCTGGCAAGCAGAAGGTTCTGAGTTCCATCTCCAGTACAAAAAACAAAAAAACAAAACAAAAAAACAACAACAACAACAACAAAACAAACCTCTAACTTATAAAGCTATGCTCTTTGATAGGAAGGAAGAATAGGTCTTCCTTGTCATTTTTGTGCTGTTAGAAAACACCCAGTGTCATAGCACCATAATCCCCAGATGAAGCAGAACAAATAATATAAAACTGATTCAGAGATGCCACCCCTCTAACTTTATCTGTCTGGTTGAGTCATTCCTGGCCAAGTGGGCACCATTATGGGCTGAGCTGGAGGTCACATCATTGGAGGCCCAAACATCAGCGGGTGGCAGCCCATGGGTGGCCTCATTCCAGGAGCAAGTCCCAGTGGCATCATCCCAGAAGGAGGGGGGCCCATCAGTGGCATCATAAGAGGGCCTTCCATATGGGGCATTGGCATCATACCAGGGTGAGGAGGACCCAGGAGGCTGGGTGGGGCTGGCATCATTGCGCCTGCTGGGGGAGGAGTGAAAAATGGAGTAGGAGGTATCTTTTCTTGTTGAAATGAAGCTGTTGTTTTGTCGGTCAGGCTCTCGCTTGCTCTTCCATTCATTTCTTTTTTTTTT